ATATTTGGCAGCAAACATTCTAATTCCTTCCCTTTTTATATCTATTTCTTATTTGTCTTATTTTTCTCTTTCAATAATATAAGAGTGTATTAACTTCTCAAAGTAGTGTCTTTGTTTATATCCTTGATAAAGATTTTTTATTTCAACCTTAGTAGTTCTTTAAAGCCTACATATAAATTTTCCTATCTTTTCTTTTGCAAGATTAGTTCTTGTTATTTATAGAAATTTAAAACCTGTGCTTACTAATATTTCTCTTTTATAAATAAATATATTTACACAGAGTGTATTAGATGTAAGAATAACATTCAACCTATTAGAGGTAAGCTTCTTTATAGATCAAATATATGCATGTAGACATACAAGAGTATTTGATATCTTTTGAACTTGTATTATTGAATCTATGATTATTACTCAAGTGTTTTTATTTTTATAAATTTACTAAATTAAAAATTTAGCAAATCATAATTCACAACTTCTTTACACAAATATCATTATTTTATTTTACTATTATAATTGAATCATTTCAAAAAGCTTAGAACAAATAAATATCTTAAAATTGGTTTTTACTTTGCATGTGAGTAACAAGAGCAGTATTTTATCATTAACAATTTTTAGTAGTATTTTAAAATATCTATGCTTCATCCTTCTATCACTAATATATTATTGTCATTTGTATTCAAACCTAAAACCTCTTAGACCTAATGATCCATTCTTATCATGCCTAAGACGTCTTTGTTCAATGTTCATACAGTAAAATGAATCTTGTAGCATGTTCATACAGTAAAATGAATCTTGTAGCATATTCCATGAGATTGAATGCATAGCAAATTCTTGTTAATATGAGACTACCCATGTAAACATTTGGTAAAGGCTTGGTACATTCATTACAATAATGTTGCAAAAGAAGAACCTTTAGAACCGCCCATTGGTGCAAACCTGTTCATTTCCTCGATGGTGGGGTTCAAACTGGATCATTGCTACCACAACTTTGACTAATTTTTGAATCAATTTGCTCAAAAATGTATGGTATTCCTGGTTCAAAAGATAGTGCTTGAGGATATTAAACTCACATGTTCATCGAAAGCATTCTTATTCTGAGACTTTGGGAGATTTACTGGCAGTAATAATGACAACGGCAATTGTTACGGATGCGATCAATTTCAACTTCATTTCACAATGCAGCGCACATAGCGAGCTCAAAACTCAACAATGTGAGAGAGAACAAGAGAAATTACAGTCCACGGGTTAAGTGTTACATGACAGGGTTGATGACTTTGCTAGAGCTTGTCGAGGGCAGCGCGAGATGTAGTCGAGGAGGCAGATGCGCAAGAACTGTACAAATCGCATGTGCTACTCTTGCCTACATGAACAATGGCTGTGGGGAATTTATCTTCTAGAAGTTTGTCTTTCTGACATTCGTCGTCGTCGTCATCATCATCATCTTTGGGATCCGCTGCTCCGCGCCGGTTGGTGCCAGAGTTGAAACACGAAGCCGAAGTGCCAGAGTCGATGCTGCTGCTGTCGTCTGCGCCTGCGGAATCCGTGGGGACAGATCCACTCTTAGCGTAAGAGCGACTGCCTCGACTGGATCGACTGGTGTCTGCGTTCGATGACGAATACGGTGGGCTCGAATAGTCTGATTTTTTTATCTTTCTGCTTAGAATCCTCGGGAGCAGTGAATCTGTATCGGTAGCCTTTCTTGCAGATAACCTTGCCGCACTTCGCCAGGTGTTCCAGCGTAGTGGTGAGAAGTTTGTTGCTGGCTCGGTCAAAGCGACCTTTAAACTTTCGCTGCAGCTGCCGCCGTAGCTCGGGCAAGCTCAACCCAGTGGCCGCCTCCCTCTCCTGGCCGGTCTCCTCGTCGACTTCCTTCGCCGTGTCGGCAGCAAGAGTGCACTACTTCGACTTCGATGCGGCGCTCTCCTCGCGTTGGATCGTCGACGAGGCTTCATCCCCCCAACTGCCGTGAATCACGACAGATTCAGGCCGCCTCTCGATCTACAAGGTCACACATCTGGAAGAGGGGGCACGCAGAGCGAGGTGGTCGCTTGGAGCTTTAAGTGATGCGCCTCTTTGCCTCCCTATCTGTCTGTGTGTGTGTATGTGTCATGTGTCTCTGGCTGCCTCTTTTGCTCTTGCATGGCTTCTCATATCTCCTTTGGGATTTGCCTCCACATGTGCCCACTTCCCCACGATGTGTTTCTACCCATTCTAACATTTCTAATGCCCCTCTTATCAGAATATCGTAAAGTTTCCGAAGTTCTCCAGTAATCTGCTTTCGGGACTTTTCGGAGCTACTTTTCAAAAAAATAGTTTGCAGAGTTAATGAAACTTTTATGGGAGTTTGTAATTCAATTGAGATGCTGTCAATGGATTATTTTTGTGAATGGAACAGGCTTGATGGCAGGCTTTACACATCTTTGAGTAGTTTTGGAAGATTCATTGCACAATCTGTATTTACAATTAGTTTTTGAAATGAAAGCAACAAACAAAATGATTGATAGTGTTACAACCATTTTGGAGGAAAATTTAGAGCTTGGGGCCTGAAGTTCCTTATTATAGGATTTTTAAACATCACAAATAAAATCACCTTAATCATTAAAAGAATGTTCTCAAAAATATGAAAGTATATATTTTATTTAAACTATTTGAGTGACCTGAAAACAATTAATTCTATAAAATAAACTCATGTTTTATTTTTATGTTCAAAATTTATAATAAAGAATATAATGTATGTATACATGTATATATAAAAACATATTAAATCTTAATGCAAACAAAATAAGGTGATTTTTTCTATGAAGAGATTAAGTCTCTTTTATATAATTATAAAGTAATAGACCAATTATTAAGGTTATCGAATATGATTGCATTTTCAAAAAAGTTGTTGTATTGTAAAAATATTCCATCAAATAGTGTATTTGATTTGCCAAATTCAAAAACTTCCATCACTTAAAATAATATAATATTTAGGAATGACATCTACTATTTTTTCAGTCAATAAACTATTGCTTAAAAAAATGGCATATCATTTATTAGCAATGCCTTCGATAGGAACTCAAGGAAAAAAATATTGACAATCCATGAACGGAATATGTTTTATTATTATTATTATTATTAATCTCCTATCCTCATTGAGTTTGTCACTATTGCCTCCTTTGTAACTGTTGAGATCATTAAATGTAGCCAATGCTCTCCATAATATTTATTGTAGACTACAGTAAATATTGTAGCTACAGTATTTAGAGTCTAGTGGAGAAGTACTATTTATCCTCTTCCCTTTTCTCTTCTTGTATACGAGACACAACCATATCAATAGATTTTTATGTATGAAGCTCTCTCTCCTTAGAAACCCTCTTGTATGTATGATTTACTACTACTCTTGTATATGTGTATGACTTACTATTACTCTTGTGTCTTTCTAAACATTCTCAATACGTTATAAGCACGACTCTCTTCTACACACTATCACAATTTTTTTTTTTCTCTAGGCTTGACTCTTTAAACCTATTGCTACTCTTGCTCAGTGTCTACCTCATGATCTTGTTGCTCTTCTTGCTAGCCCTTCACACATTAGCTGCTTGCTTAGATCACTTGTTCCACTCTTTGCCTTGCTTGATTAGAATACTTGTTTAGAATACTTGATCCAGCCCAACTCCTCTCCAACTTGCTCCTTGCTGCCAGCTGTGCCTTGCGCTTACTGTCAAATAGTCGTCGAACCCGCTGTTGCCTGTCGTTTTTTGTCGCTGCCCATCGCTGCTACCCTGCAGCCCTATTGTTGCCGCCCTACCACTACTTGCTGCCACCATCTTAATACTGTTCTGTTGCCTTAATCCACAACCTCCTTTAAAAAAAAAAAAAAAAAAAAAAAAATTATATATTTTTATTTTTTCAAGTTCAAGTTTATCATTTTATTTGACTTTATATTTTAAGGTACATTTTACTCAACTTTTCTACTTGATCTTGTATTTTCTTTATAGATTTATTTATAACGAGTGCTTCAACATTTTCAACTGCTTCTATTATGGTTCCAACTATTACTAGTGCATCCCAATATTTTCAAGCTCTTTTATTTCCACCATTGACTGTGGATGGAAACAATTATCTATTATGGGCAAAAATGGCAAAAGAAAATTTATTTACAGAACAACTCTCGGATGCCATTATATTTGAAGAATCTCCTATAATAAGTATTTTTATACTTCCTGCTATTCATTGGAAAGCACTTCTTCTCCTTTGTCGTCATCTTGTACCTGCATTACAACATCAATATTTCGAAATAGAAGATCCTGCAAAATTTTGGAAGAATCTTAAATCCAGATTTGATCATCAAAAGATCATTTTTCTTCCACGTGCACATTATAATTGTATACATTTATGTGTCTTGGATTTTCCAAATTTAAATGCTTTTAATAGTAAAATATATAGTATTGTCTTACAATTACTATTATGTGGACAAAACATTTCTGAAGAAGAAATGATTGAAAAAACTCTCTCCACATTTCCTCCTGTATCTACTGTGCTTGCACAACAATATATGAACATGAAATTTCAAAGTCATTGTGATTTCATGTCCTATCTACTTGCAGAGAAGCAAAATGAGCTACTTTTGTGCAATACAGAAGCTCATCCTATTAGAACTACAGTTCTAGAATCTCATCCACTTAATAATTCAAAGTCTAAGAAGAAATTATATAAACATGGGAAACGTGCCCATAAGTATCAGGATAGTCATAGTCAAGCCCATTTCTACCCATATGGAAAGAATAAACGTCTACTATTAATTATAGTAAAAAACAAAAATCAGAGATGCGTTCTTGCCATAAGTGTCGAATGATTGGACATTTAGTACATGTGTGCCGTACTTCAGAATGTTTTATTAAAATGTTCCAAGAAAATAAGAAATTACGAGCTGAGGCTCGTGAAGTTCATACCATGGATGCGTCCATGGATTCAATTAGTGTTGATGACTTAGAGGCTTATATGAATGTTAGAACCTCTAATGATGAATCAAATGATGCGCTCATTGATTCTGCAACAACACATACTATCTTACGAGATATATGATTTTTTATTGAAAAATCTTCAACTTGGCAAACTAAAAATATAATGACCATGGTTGGAGCAAATGTGTTTTGTTTCTAAGAGGGTACATTGATCGTAAAATTACCTGCGGGTTCCATCATAAAATGTAAAAATGCGATGTTTGCACCCTCAGCACCTCGAGATGTGCGTATTAATGGTTATCACCTCTCAACCGCCACTTTAAATAAAAAAAGAGGTTTTGGTTCTTACGAAGAATCATAAAGTTGTTAAAAAATCTTTTGTTATAGAAAATGGTTTATATTGAATTGTGATTTGGCCTCCCATTATATTTAATTTTACATCATCTATCTCAGAGAGTCTTGTTTCTCTCTGACATGGACGATTGGAACATCTAAGATCCATGTTATTTAGAAAGATCATTCCATGTATAACTGGGCACAATTTAAAGCCTGCAGATGTAGACTCTATGGAATTATGTCGTGCATGCATGTAAGGTAAAATGATTACTCGGCCTTCAATTTGGAAACTTCCACAAGAATTACCACCAATGCTTGAAAGATTACATGGTGATATTTGTAGTCCTATTAATTCAATATCAGGATCATTTTGTTATTTTTTAGTCGTCGTTGATGCATCAGGTAAAGAAACACATGTTTCATTATTATCAACTCGAAACATGGTATTTGCCAATCTTATATCTATGCTTATTCATTTTTGGGCACATTTTCTTGATTATCCTATAAAAACATTGTGTATGGATAATGCAAAAGAATTCACATCAAAGTCTTTTGAAGACTATTGTACTACAACAAGAATCGAGTTGACATATTCTATTCCATATGAACATGCTCAAAATGGACTTGCAGAGTCATTTATAAAGTATATACAACTCATTATCCGGCTACTCCTCCTTTACACAAATTTACCTACATCTATGTGGGATCATGTAGTTTTACATGCTGTAGCATTAATATGCCTCTGCCCTTCTTCTCTTGAAATTGTTTCACTACATGAGCTCATTTCAGGTTGTGTTCCAAATGTATCTCACTTACGAGTATTTGGTTGCTGTGCTTGGATTCTAGTACAAGAACTTCAACGGCGTACCATTGGAGCTCATCGACAAGAAGGCATATATGTTTTGATTCACCAAGCATTATTTGTATTGTTGATCCATCAACTGACATATTATTACGTGTATATTTGCAAAATTGTCGTTTTGAAGAAAATATATTTTCATCTTTTCAAGGAGGAGTATCCAATCAACAAAGAAATAAAGTACTTATATTTGAAGCACCAGAAACATTTACAATGAATTCCGATCCTAGGATATCTTTGGAAGAAACTGAAGTTGCTAAGATTTTGCATCTAAAATGGATCACAGATGAAACACCTGATGGCTTCAATGATGCATCTAGAATTACAAGAGTTCCTATTAATGAGGCTCGGAATGCACCTGCTCAGATTGCAGTGCCATTGACTACAATACCTCAAGTTATAACAACAACAACTAAAAGAACTCGTGGACCAGATAAGCAACCACGTAAGAAGAAAGCTATAAAATTGACTAATCTTGATATTATTTCTCAAGAAATTGCCACACATCTTGTAGGACTACCAATTCATGATGATATATCTATGCATAATGTACCTTCAATTCCTATGAAAAACAATCTTGGAATTAGAAGGAATAAGAACAAGTTGACTAAAGAATTATCTATTTTGTATTGTGCTACAGATAATATTTGGGACAGACCATCTACTATGGTAGATGAATCATTTGGATATATGATTGTAGAAGTCCTTTCTTGCGAGGAAGATGATCTTCAACCTCAAACCATCGAGGAGGCGATGCATCGATCAGATTGGTCAAAATAGGAAACTGCTATTGAGAAGGAGTATGCCTCTTTGCGCAAGAAGAAAGTCTTTGGTCCAATTATAGACACTCTTATATCTCGCCCTGTGGGATATAAAATGGTATTAATATGCAAGCGAGATGCTCAAGGTCAAATAACCCGCTATAAAGCTCGTCTTGTTGCTTAAGGATTTACTCAACAATTTGGCATTGATTATGAATCCATATATTTTCTAGTCATGGATTCAATTACATTTCGATATATTATTCGAATGACAGTTCATACCACCCTTGAGATGTATCTGATGGATGTAGTAACTGCATATCTATATGGTTCTCTTGATGCAAATATTTATATGAAAGTTCCACTTGGCTTAGAAATAGGAACTCCAAATTGACCCGCTCTAGGATAATATCGGGGTATTAAATTATGTAAGGCCTTGTATGGTTTAAAACAATCCGGACGCAGAAGGTATCAACGTCTTTGAGATTATTTAATTACAAATAATTTTATAAGTGATCTACTAATCCCTTGTTTATTTATCAAATGAAATAAAACTGGTTTTGTGATCATTGCTATATATGTTGATGATTTTAACCTAGTGGG